TTGTGCCCAACCGGGTTGCAAGATTGCAAGCCCGCGTGCACTGACAGCTCAGCAGGGAATCGCTCAGCAGGGGTGCCGCAGGCAGTGCTCGGCAGCAGGAGCGGGACTCAGCCGGCCAGGGGCCGGGCAGTTTGCGGCATAAAGGTCAATTGCTTGAGAGAGATTTAAACTCTACTGCTATAATATCTGATTCCCTTTTATAATAAACGTTGTTTTCAAATTAAATCTCTAATATTCTGATAAAATATTCAATAAATATTCCATTTATCTAAACACAAAGCCATAGTTAAGACTATTTTATAGTCATAAATGCAAAAAGCAAAACAATAAACCCTACATTAAAAAAAATAAGAAATTAGATTAAAGCTCCAATTTTATAGAGCATATGATAAATCTCAAAGCAATAAGCTTCTTTTTTTTTTTAGCAATAAGCTTCTATTTACTACTAATAAAATAGATTCAAATGCCTCTTGAAATACCTTTTCCAATGAAAATGATTGTCTTAAATACATTTATAAATGGACTTAATATTATATTTTTAAATAAACTTACATGTCCATTAAAAGTGTCAGCACCATAAGGTTTATAATACAATAAATATATTATTCCTAGGTCCCTTTCACAAGACTTAATAACATATACTTAGCATAATACACAGTATAATTAAATGTATTACAGTATGTCTTACCTTTTATGTATAAGATAGTCCTCCAGAATATCAAGGCAGCGTACCATCTGAGAGAATATGAGCACTTTATGACCTCCTGCTTTCATTTTGGGAAGCAATTTATCAATAAGGACCAATTTACCAGCTGACTGAATCATTGCTTGAAGATGAAAATCAGTAGCAGCTGGATTATATGTATCTCTAAATTCTCCAAGTATTTTCTCCTCAGCACCTGTCAAGGAAATATGAAAAGACAGCAACAATGCACAAATGCAGGCAATTCCCAATTGCTTTTATTTTAACTCACATTTAGTGTTCCTTTATGCTTCTGTAACATAGTATTATTTTCTGATGTCAAGTACATTGCTTTTGTTAGAATTATTTGTTTATGGCTAAATCCCACCAACACCAAACTGTTAATGCCATTGAGAACAGATAATGTCTTAATCATGTTTTCACCTCTCCAGAAACCTGGCATAATGGCTTGTGTGAATTTAAGTTTGCTAAATACTTTATAAATGTCATTAGGAAAAGAATGTACAAAACTATGGTCTGGATCCAGGTAAATAAATACATATATATTTTTAAAAAAATCTAATATTTAAACATAAATCATAACAATGGTCATCAAAGGGTGATCATTAACTGCTGTAGATATGACTATGGGAATCTTGTTAGCATGAAAACAAGAAAAAGTAAAAAGGAAGTCATGTTATTGGTCCATCATGTATACTTCCTTCAAAGAATCTAGATCAGAATTTAAAGGTCTATAAACATTTCTTTCCTCAGCCTTGCTAAGCCATAAAAATATACTGGGATTGTGAGAGAGAGAGAGAGATTGCCTTAAGCAAAGTAAGTAGATGAGTAGGATATTCACAGGAACACACACATGAAAAGACTCAAACATAGTACAGAGAACATTGGTAGAGAACTTGACAAGACCTTAAAAACTATCATTATTGTACCACAAAAACTGAATTACTAACTGGAGTATATGGATTAGAAACAGACCAAGGGAAACAAGTGTATATACAGAAGCTCAAAGATGGGTTTTATTCTTTGTTCATAAGGAAGATTAAATTTTAGGAGAATTCCACACTTAAGCAAATTGAACAAACTCTTGCTGTTCTTGGAACCTGGTATGTTAGACACTATAATGTAGTAGTTCACTTTGCCCGTGAATCTGAAACACTTGTGATTCCTCAGCATAGTAGAACGAAGAGCTCTTAATAGCCTCTATAACTGTAGTGGTGTTCTGTTAAATGGTTCATTAATATTTGACAAAAGAAAAGTAGATGTTCTAATTCATTTAGCTACCTTTGATAAGATATGGATGATTACAGCATTTTCTAAGTTCCATCATGGTGTTGACCAAGTTAGGTACATTAGTCTGTCCTGCTCCTTTAGACAAAAATGAAAAATTCTTCTCCAAAATAGCCCGGTAGTATTTTTTTTGAATGTTGGTAAGTTCTACTTCAATGATAGTTTCTTCCTTAGGTGCCAATTTCTTTTCAACATCTTCTTTTAATCGTCTCAACATCATTGGTTTCAGGATAGCTTGAAGTTTTTGCACCTAAATAAAACATAATTTTATTATATATGACACAAGAGCACATTCAATTGTATATATATAATAATCACAATAAGAGATTTGATGTACTTATTTACAAAGAACAGTAGGATACCTGTTCCTCTGTTTTCAGATCTCCAAATTCTTGCATAAATGTTGATTCAGAAGGAAACCTTAAGGGTTCAAGAAAGTGAAGAAGACTGAAAAGTTCTTCAACTGTATTTTGGAGAGGAGTGCCAGTCAAAAGCACCTTGTGTTCCTATACAAAGCAAGAACAATTACATTCAAATGACAAAGTAGTAAAATTAAATGGAAGCTGATTTAGGGCATTAAATGTTTGAAAGTATTCTCTGACCATAATTTTTAAGAATTAACAATAAAACATCTCTACCCACAAATCTTGAGCAATGTACTTTTCTAAACATGATAAAATCTTTGTGGAGCACAGATCTTCAACCAAAAATAAATAAATAAAAATTTTAAGACCTCTTCATCAGTCTTGGAATATGTTTTGTTGTATGCTATCTTTACCAATTTCTATCTTTTAAAATTCCACATTTTTGAACATGCATATTTCAAATCATCTCAAAGAAATAAACCATTATTTTCAAAGAACAAAAGGGGGATTTTCTAAATTTTGTACTTAATCATTGCTGGTATAATAATTTACATACCAAACAGTGTTCACTCTTTGTAACTTGAATGATCATCATTTAACCTCTCACAGAACAAATTATCAAATCATCAAAGCTACAATCCAAGAATGTAAAGGGAAATTGGAATATGCGTTAAAGCAGAAGTTCATTAAAACTTGAACACAATAGAAACAGAAAAATATACACAATATTTTAAATAATAGTATAAATTATCATTTAAATTTTGATTTGACAACTCCTCTAAATTGGCAAATTAAACATATGTGTACACATGCCTGCACATATGCATATACATATATACAATAGCAAATGGCCAGAAAGATACTCATCTAACTTTAAATACTGGAGAGAGGAGGCAAATGGGTAGTGGCATAGGTGGAGAGGGAATATAAAAGGAGCACTTCAATTTTTATTGCATGTGATTATGTTTATTTGTTCAAGTACTGATGCAATAATTATGTGATCTTAGTTTATTTGAAAGCTTTAAATACACTACAAAGAAGGTAACTAAGAAATTCCATTTTGAGTCTGGGTTTACAGCTTAGTGGGTAGAGTGCTTGCCTCCCATGCACAAGGCCCTGGCTTTAATCCCCAGCAACAAACACATACACACACACACACACACACACACACACACACACACACACACACAAGAAATACCATTTTAAATATAACCAATGAATGCTAAGCATGTGGAATTGCATAGGAACATTATCTCTTCACCATAAATTACTGAGTAACTTTGATGAAAGGGCTTTTCAGTAAGTAATTTGCAGCTTGAAATTTATGACATTATTTTCTTTTTAGCCGTACACACCTACAGAGATTTATTTCTGTTATTGAATAAATTAATTACTAAAATTTTTTGGTGAAACACTAAAAATTTTCAAGCCTAAGAAAACTGATAAGATTTTTTTTCCAATTTTTACCATTTGAAGCAAAAATTTTCTCAATTATAACAGATAGGATTCAGCCATCTGAATAAAATTTTAAAAAATTTCATTTTTAGCATTTACCTTTCTGACTGTCCTTGTCCATGATCTTTCGCTATAAGCTAGGAAATGAAGGTCTCCCCCCAACAAAAAGAGAAAATTTATAGGACACTCACCAGATTCATGAGCTTCAGACCTTCTAGGAGTTTACAGTTTTTATTTTTTAACCTGTGTGCTTCATCAATAATTACACATCGCCATTCAATTGCATTAAGCTCTCCACAGCCTCCAAGAATCATTTCAAAAGTGGTGATGATAGCTTGGAATCTGTATGCTCCTCGAATGATGCGCCCCTGGAAATGATCAAATATAACATTCTAGAATGTCTAGGAACACTTTTTATTCCTGACCAATGGCATAAAAGTAAACTAGTGATATTTGTTGTAAATTATTTTTCACTTAAATATACATAAACATTCCCTTGAAAGAAATTTAAGCATTGAAACTATATTAGATGGCCATTTCTGATATCACTCTCAAAATGCATGCCTACATATTTATATTGTTTGAAATTATATTTGAATAAGTGTTTCCCTGTAGAATTATAATAACAGCAGGGTACAGTGGTGCACACCTGTAATCCCAGCAACTTGGGCGGCTGAGGCAGAAAGACTAAGTTCTAGGCCAGCCCCAGCAACTTAGTGAGACCCTGCCTCCAAAAAACAAAAAAGAAAAAAAGAAAGGATTGACATCCCTGAGGCTAATTTATAATGGCAAATAAGTAATGAAAATCAAAATTAGCCATCCAAATAGTTTATTCACCAAATATTTATTTAATGTATATGTGCCAGACTTTGCTCTAGTTGCTGGAGATAAAGCAGTTAACAGAATAGACAAGATTAATTGTTAGGGTGGAACTTACAGTTATTAATGATCCTAATGCAGGACATAGTCAGTAAGAAGACAACAATTTTTTTTAAAAAAATTTAGAACACAATAAGGGAAGAGGTATAAAATAAACCATGAATATGAACTAAAAATGATAGGGATAGAAGTTCCCATTACAATATTACATAGGGTAGTTGGGAGACCATTATTAAGAAATGATATATGAACAAAGATCTTAAGTTTAGTAAGGAAGCCATGTTGATATCCAGAGATATGGAGGAAAAACCATTCTTGGTAAAGCAGCAAATGTGAAGGTCCTATATATTTCCAAATACTCCGATAATAGCAAGAAAGTGCAGTTGAAACCCAGTGAAAGGAGAAAGGAAGAGGCAGACAGAATAGGAACTTAAAAACTGTGGCAAGACTGGCTCTTCCTTTAMGCAGAGGCTATGATGGGATTCCAGGGAAAAAAAGTTTAACTGTTGTGATGACAACACACAAGTAAAGGATCATAGAGACCATAAAAGCTGTCATAGTGAAAAATCATCATTAGAGGTGGTATAAAGCACTCATTTGTAGACATCTTTAAACGCAGAATAAACTGAATCTCTTTAAGAGATAGATATGGTGTGAGATTAAGAGAAGACACAAATTTAACTCTAAAAAAGTTTTAGTTTGTACAACTGGAATTTGGTGTTGCTATTTACTAACATGAGGATGTTCATGATATTGGCTGTGTACAAGTTTAAAATGTCTATTAGAGATATCCAAATGGAGTTGTTAAGCAGGCTTTTGGATATGACTGAAATTTAGGTAATAGTTTAGAGCTGGTGATTTGGAAGTTTCTAGCAATACAAATGTAGCTTACTGTCCTGCATATGTATGAAATCTCTGAAGGAATGAGTATCAACATAAAAGAGTTTGAGGGCTACATACTGGACTACCCCAAAGGTTAGATATGGGGTCGAGGAGGAATCCATAAAGGGAACATAAGAAGGAACAGGTGGAAATACAGCGTGAAGTTCAGGAATCTAAGTAGAGACAGTTTAATAGATTGAAAGCTTATACTTAATAGATATTAAAACTAAGAAAAGCTTAAAAACAATTATGTATTCTGATTAAGTTTTTAAATTTTTAGGTTAGTTCATATTGATTCCAATATTATTAAAATATGAAGTATAGATTGATGACATTTACACAAATCTGACAGCCTGGGATATATTAAATTTGGCTTCTCAGTCTAATAGACTTGGGCATATTAATCTCAGTTTTACTTTTGTTTTTTGGGGCAATCTACATAACATCCTTATGGCTTAGTATCTGCATGTATAAAATGGAGATAATATCTATTTCACAAGGTTACCATTGAAAAGATGTAGTGAATACAGGCAAACTTTCAGCATAATGTCTAGAACATGGTGATACTCAAAACATATTTGTAGTTATGAGTATTACTATTTCTAATCACAGGGCAAATTTAGAAAATATTAGTTTTACTCCTAATGTTTTCAAGCAATTTGATAAGTTGACAAAAAAATATTCAACTGAGTTATACTAAAATGTATCTGTGAAACTTAATTGTTAAAAAAGTATTTCTATATTTTAAGAACAGATCATTACATTATCTTTTGAAATTTAAAACCTTTTCAGTTAATCCTAGAAGGTATAATGTTTACCATAGAAAATATAATAATTAATATTAATTTATCATACATCAACTTTTTCAGTTTGATTCTTTAATTTGATATCAAATTCATATCATATATGTATTAAAATTGAAACATTCTTAGAAACGTTCTCAAGTTTTCAGTTGTGCCTCCTGTAAAAAAAAAAAGTGAAACTAAATCATTTCTATGATACTACAAAACTTTAGAACAAAATCAGTTAATTCATTCATTGTAAGCCTCAAAAAGGTAGAAAGTCAGTTACAATTAGAGGCAAAAGTAGAAGGCTATGTATATTATCTTAATCCAGCTTCTACCATATATGATCTGGCCATATGTTATAATGATCTTTTTAAAATGAACAATGAATGAAAGAGAAAGAAGATATTTAGAGGCTACTGAGGTAGAATGCCAGGCAATAAACCTTTCCCAATTAAAAAGTACAATTTGGAATAAATTATGTTTATTAAGAAATAAGACACAAAATTCTTAAAGATTTTTATCCAAAAAGATTTGTATGAACAATGATTACAACTTGACACTTCATGTCTTCTTGGTAGAAAATTCTTTCTTATGTTTTAATCTTTTTTATTTTATAGTTTTGTACTTACAGAAAATAGAAAATCCTTTCTTAAAGGGCTGGGATTATGGCTCAGTGGTAGAGCACTCGCCTACCATGCGTGGGGCCCTGGGTTCGATCCTCAGCACCACATAAAAATAAATGAATGGAATAAAGGTATTGTGTCCAAGTACAACTAAAAAAATAAATATTAAAAAAAAGAAAATCCTTTTTTAAAGAGTAAATGGCTATAGAGGCACAAGGTGTCATTATCAAATTCTTAAGAAAACAACTAACCATTTCCTATATTGTCAAATACTTGGTTGCGAAATTTATATAAAATATGTTAAAAACAAATAAAAATTTGCTTAAATTAAAAAGGAAAAAAAGTGGCTGAATAAAAATGGAACATGTGCCTCTAGGATATAGGAAAGGAGAAAACCATCAGCTAATCATTAAAGTTCTGATATAATGAATTCTAAGGAGAAGGTATGCTTAAATCAGTACACAAAACAAATGAAGCAATTTTTTCCCCCAGCACTTGGGATCAAACTCAGGGCTTTGTACATTTTTTTTCTTTTTTAAAATATTTTTTAGTTGGACACAATAGTTTTATTTTGTTTATKTGTGTGGGGTGCTGAGGATCAAACCCAGGCACTTGATCGTGTTAGGCAAGCGCTCTACCGCTGAGCCACAACCCCAGCCTGGGCTTTGTACATGTCAAGCAATATTCTAACACTGAGCTGTGCCTCCAACCCACCATTCAAAAACTTAAAAAATGTTTAAAAGCAAAATCCATTGAACATGAAAGAAAATTTATAATGTCACCTCAATAGCCATTTGAAGTCATGCTGTTCATTGAATGTTTAAATTAAAAAAAAAAAAAAGAAAGGAAGAAAAAGAGCTAGAGAATGATCAAAGAGGGAGTTATTTCTAGAAAAAATTTAACAAGTATACAAACAATAATTACTTAAAAATTATTTAAAAGTTATTCTAGTTGAAATATTAAAGATTACAAATTTCTGCATATGTATATGTTTCATATTTCACTATAAAGGAAAACAGGATTAAATCCTTTTGTCATTGTTTTCAGTTACTATAATTTATTGTAAAATAAGTAAAATGAAGACATAAGCTTAACCTAAATTATCTATGCTAAATTTGAAAGTATGTAATGCCTATCTTTTTCAACCCTGATGGTTCAACAAGCAAAAGCATTAATACCACACCTGTGAGTCCCTGAAGTACATCTCATATTGCTGTATCATCTGTCTGCTAATCAGGCTTCCATGATAAACCACAACATTAATATCAGTCCATGTACGAAATTCTCTCTCCCAGTTTGCAATGGTAGAAAGTGGTGCAATAATCAGGAAGGGTCCTCTTATACCAGTCAGAAGGATTTCGTAGAGGAATGTAATTGATTGAATGGTTTTGCCAAGACCCATTTCATCTGCTAAAATGCAGTTTCGTCTGAAATAAACAAATATATTATCCATGCATACATTGGGTTCTTCTGTATACTACAAAGTTTTAAAGATAAACATATGAAAATAAAAGATTAAATAAAATATTTGCACTTGTAAAAACAAAAGTTGCTGAAGTACTGAATAAGCTCAAGATTACAATTTTATTATAATCCTGCAAAGGGAAAATTCAAGATTTTTATAGCTCCAAAATAAAGATTTCGCCATTAACTGTTTGATTTTTCTAAAAACTGAAAAGATAAGAGCAATGCATATTATATAATTTATTCAGGAAGCATTATTAAATACCTTCTATTATCTCAGGACAGTATGAGAAGATGGAATACAAAAGAAATAGAACATGTTCTCTGCCTTCCAGGGGCTTGTATCTATTAGAGAAGCAGACATGCAAATACATAAATAAATAATCATGCAATGTGCTACTGTAGAAGCACAACTATAGTATTAATTTTCAACCATAGCTGTGCATTAGAAGAGCCTACAAAGCTTGAAAAAGAAATAAAACAGATACTTAGCCCCCCACCACGTTTACATTATGTTTTAATATGTACAGAATAGGATCAAGTCAGTTCTAATTTTTAAAATGAGCTCTGTAGATGATAATGCTATGTGGCCAGTGAAGACTATCAGAGTAATACTTCTTATGGTAGCACAGAGGGAAAACAAACAAAATCTATCTAGAAGACATGAAAAAAGAAACTTCTTCAGCAAGGAGGTCAGTTACGATCAGGATTTTGCCAGAGGACAAAGTAAAGCAGGAGAGGGCAAAAAAGACAAACCAGGGACCAAAAGTTATTTAATATGGTTAAGAGCGGAAAGTAAAGGAAGGAAAGAGAAGTGAGCTAAGTAGTGTCATAAACAGAAGAGGTTAGACATTATTTTTTTATGCAGTGGGAGGCAAAGAAATTCTTAAAGGAAACCCCTATGAGATTAAGTTTGTATTTTAAACTTTATTTTGGTGATACTGAGGATATAAGAGGGTAAGGGGATGAGATGTTGGAAATTAACTGGTTCAGTATCATAATAGAGAAGAATTTATAGAAATTATATTCTAAAGGGAGAATAAACTAAGTTACTAGAAATGATGTCAGAGTCAATTATGGGTTAGGATGAATTGGCCCTAGGAAACAACTCAATGTATAGGGTATAGGATGACAGTAACAAAATGAATTAGTAGTAATCAAGACGAGAAATATGGAGAAAAAACAAGTTTGACACAGAGGAAATAGAAATCTGCTATGTTTAAAGAATTGTTGTGTTGGACATTCAGGTACCAGAAGATGAACAGAAATATGGGCCCAAAATTCAAGGCCTTAGAGATAGAAATATGGGACCATTAAATATTATTGGTAAACAGGGCTAAGTATATATAGCTCAATTGTATAACACTTGCCTAGCATGTGCAAGGTCTTGTGTTTGATCCCAGGCACCCCACCCCCCCCACACACACACACAAACACTTGTGTATCTGTGTGTATCCTTATTCAAAGAAGATATAATTGTGTGTGTGTGTGTGTGTGTGTATGAATAAAGTAGTACATGAAGTCATAAGGGGAAGAATACAGAGTATCTCTGAGGGATTACAAACATGTAATATGTGAAGATAAGTAAAGACAAAACCCTGGGGCAGCAAAAAACAACATCTAAATGACAGGGGAAGAAGAACCAGCAGACTATTGAAAGTAACAGTTAAAGAGGGTACTGGAGAGCTATAAAAGTTGCAGTGTGCAAGCTTTCAGGGTTTAGAAGGAAGGAGCAGCAATTTCTATCCAATGGATTAGAAAATAAGTTAAGGCTAAAGAATATCCTTGGGATTAGAAAATTAAGTTTTGGGAAGAGTCAGAAACAAAATCTATACTATCACAGGTTGAAAAAGAAATGGAGAAAAGAAAATGAGGGAGAGAGAGTGTGCAGATTACTCTACTAGGAATTTGCCTGGAAAGCTACAAAGAGGGTTCAAGGCAGCTAGAAGAAGGAGCACAGTCAAAAGGAGATTTATCATTTTTTTTTTTTTGTCTTTCTATAGATAGGCTAGCACCAAATTTGTTCATAGATTGAAGAGACAGAAATAGTCTTCAGAGATGGTTTAAACATATAAAATAGAAGAATGATTAATGAATGAAGTGAAGCTCTGAAGAGACTGGATGAAACAGAATGTCAAGACCTGAGGTAACATGATTTATCCTTGTCCTAGGGTAAGATCTTTTACCTTCCAATACACGAGGTTAGAGGAAAGAATAGCTGTAGATACACTTTTGAATATGAGGACAGGCAAGAATTTTCCTACTTTCCCTGGGTTTATCTGCAAAGCAGTCACATACAGAAAGTGAATAAAACAAAACTATGCCAAAGAACTTGAAGGAAGTGATGGAAGTTTAAAACAGGCAATGTAGGAAATAGGAGTAATAAAAAAAGDAAGACGAGTTTTAAAAAGTATTGTTACCTCATTTACATAAATGATTCTTGAGAAAAATGATTAATATTTAGTAAATAAAAGCAGGGAAAAGAAAACTGTGGAATAATAGGATCCTTCACTCCATCTAACTGAGTCCCATAACTCACAATTACTAAGAGAAACAATCCAAAAACAATATAAGTAAAAAACACAGAAAAGTGACTTCGAATTAAAGTGTCATCAAATATTGCTAGTAATAATGCCTTCATTTGCTCTTTCATGGACACTACCATACTTCTTTCTGAAACATGATATCATGTTTTTCTTTGCATCTCAAAAAAAACCTTGAGGCTAGAGGGCTGGGAATGTAGCTCAGTGGTAGAATGCTTGCTCAGCATGCATGAGGACCTGGGTTCAATCCTCTATACCGCATAGATGGATAAACACCCACACAAACAAAGACTTTGAGCTATTTTGTATAAAGAAATTGCTAAACTATGAAGAATATTAACAAGGAGGTAGTTTGTTACTCCTTTTTATATTCTATTCTTTATTAATAGCTGACAATATACTTCATGGAAAACATTTAAAAACAGAGATCTATCTAATTTATAACAGATATAATGTGCTTTCAATTCACTAATTAGAACCAACTGTAGACAGACAGTAGTATAAATGGATAAGCTGTAAAACTTCCTGTAGCATACCAGATGTTATAGGACTTTTGGCAAAGTTATTTAAAATTTAATAATTAATTAATGTAACTCTGAGTGACACACACTTAAAGGAATCAGTGTAGCTGACATCTTAAACTGTAATTTACATATTTTTCTAAGATAAATTCACCTTATTTATTTTTCGGGGGCACCAGGGATTAAACCCAGGGGCACTTAATCACTGACCCACATCTCCAGCCACCCGGTTTTAAACATTTTTTAAAATTCTGACACAAGGTCTTGCACAGATGCTAAGGTTGGTATGAATTATCGATCCTCCTGTCTTGGCTCCCAAGACACTGTGATTACAGGCATGCACCATGGTGCCCAGCAGTAACTTCACTTTAAAACAAAGACTTCATCAAAATAACAATATGGGAACATCTGAATCAACTTTATTTAGTATATGTTAACATATATAACACACTAAAATTTTTAAAGATATATTACACACCTGTTGTACCAATTGAACAAGAGCCAGTTGAGTCCTTCCAGTTGATATTCCCTGAGTTGATTGCCATTTTTATAGTCCCTGGATTGATCTATTTTCTTCCAAATATTAGAGGGCGGACGGTCCTTTGTGGAAAAACAAAGAATGCATGGTGAAAAGCGAAAATTAGCATCATTCATAAAGGAGAACGACTGAATGATTTCTCCCTAAGATCAGAAACAAGGCAAGACGTGCACTGTGACATCTATTCACCCTTGTACTGTAGGCTGTGACAAGGATAATTAAACAAGAAAACCAGACAAAAGTTACCAAGTTTGGAAATGAAAAACTAAAACTATCTTTATTCATATGATTTGTCTATGTAGAAAATCCTGTGGGATCTATTAAAAAGCTAAACTAAGCAGTCATTTTAGCAAGGTTACATAATATAAAAATTGATATAAAAAAGTCAATTGTATTCTACATTTTAGCAAAAATAATGAATAAATTATTTAAGAAGTAGTCATTTTATAATGGTATCTAAAATACTAATTTTTAAAAAAATAATTCTTAAAAGTTGTATGACACCAATAAATTTGAAGCCACAAAATACTGCTGAAAAAAACTAAAGAAGGGCTAAACAGAGATAAGCCCTGATTTGAAGATTTAACATTGTTAATATATTAATTCTTCTCACAGTGAACAGAATCAACACAATCCAATCAAACTGGAATCACAGTTTTTGTAGAAATTGACAAGCTAATTCTATAAGCATATGGAAATGGAAAGTACTACAAACAGCCAAAACAGCATTGGGAGGTGTAGACAGGATGTAGATAAAGTTTGGGCACTTATGCTAACTGATTTCAAGACTTGTAAAAGTTGCAAAATCAAGACTATGTAGAACTGATGTAAAGATAAAGATAAAAAGTTCAGTGGAACATAATAGATGGTTCAGAAATATACTCTCAGGGATTCAGTCAACTGAGTTTTGACAAAGCTGGAAAGGCAATTCAGTGCAAAAAGAGTTTTTTCAATAAATGATGTTATAACAATCGAATACCCATGAACAAAAGGAAAGAATTTGATCCATATACTATCTACACACAAAAATCATAGCGCTGAATGTTACGTGACATATTTTCAAGGAGAAAGCAAGACAGAAATCTTCATGAACTTAGGTTATGTGAAAATTTCTCAGACACATAAAGTATGATCATAAGAAACAAACTGGAGTTCACCAAAACTAAGAACTTTTGCTCTTTGAAAGACACTTTTAAGATAATGAAAAAATGACTACAAACTGGTGGACAATATTTACAAACCAAAGGTCACAAGACCTTTGTTTTTAATAGTCTACACAAATATTCATCAATAGGCGAAAGGATAACAAATTGTGGGCTATATTTCTCAGTAATAGAAAAGGTATCAACTATCAATGCATGCAATAATGTGAACTTGAAAATTATTATGCTATGTAAGAAACCCTAAGAAAAACAGAATACAGTGTCCATGTACATAAAAACGAAATGAGAAGAAATGAAAAAGAATTGATAGTGACGTAAATATTACTAGTTCCCTAGGATGAGAAGTAGGGTACATAAGAAAGATGAATTGGGAAGGAAGGGTTACAAAAGCACACAAGAATACTTTGGGGAGCCATAGTTCATCACTCTGATTATGGTTTTGGTTTCATTTGTCAAAACTTATCAAATTGTACATCTTAAATATTTGCAATTTACTAGATGTCAAATTTTATGAACCTCAAATAAAGCTATTTATAAAAAAATGAATGAAGCTGGGAATAATGGTGCAGGCCAGTAAACCCAGCTACATAGAAGGCTAAGGTAGGATGATCTCAAGTTTGAGGCTAGCCTGGACAACTTAATGAGAACCTTTCTTAAAAAACACAAAAGGAATAGGATTGTGCTCAGTGATAAAGTGACCATGGGTTCACTCTCCTGTACTGTAACAACAACAACAAAAAGTGAATGACACAGGGACTAGGCTTGTGGCTCAATGATAGAGCACTTGTCTAGCATGTGTGAGGCACTGGGTTCGATTCTCAGCACCAAATATAAATAAATAAAGCCCATCAACAACTAATAAAATATTTTTTAAAAAGGTGAATTATATTATCAGATTTTTCTATTTTATTATCTTCAATATTGGGGATTAAATCCAGTCATGCTCTATCACTGAGCTACATCCTCAGCTCCTTCTATTTTTATTTTGTGAAAAGTTCTTTGCTGAATTGCTGAGGTTGATTTCAAACTTGGGACCCTCCTGCCTTGGCCTCTGGAGCTGCCAGAAATCACAGGTGTGCCACCCTGTCTTGCTTCACATATATTTTAAATCTGTCATACATATTACTACTTTTATATACTTTCAATATTCATGATAAAAAGCATTCAAAAAATCATAGAAGCATAGAAGTATAATGTTGTATGTTAAAACTATTCATTTACATAATCATATTTTTAAAATTTAATTTTTCTTCTTCAGAAATAAAAAATTGAATTATTCTGCATGGCTAAAACATAATCTGTCTTGAAGTTGCTGCATAGGTAAAGAAATAATATCCTAGTCCCAAATGAATAGGCTCTAAGTCTCAGATAAACATTTCTGTAAAGCAAGCAAAAGATGGATTGTCTTCTGTTTCAAAATTATATACTATTACTAATTAACAAACTTATACTATTAAAAATGTCTGCAGGTGGGCTGGGGATGTGGCTCAAGCRGTAGCGCACTCGCCTAGGGTGCGTGCGGCCCGGGTTCGATCCTCAGCACCACAAACAAACGAAGATGTTGTGTCCCCCGAGAACTAAGAAAAAATAAATAAATGTTAAAATTCTCTCTCTCTCTCTGTCCCCTTCTCTCTCTCACTCTCTCTTTAAAAAAAAAAAAAATGTCTGCAGGATCAGGGCATCTTTATGGTGACTGTAAATGAAAAATAAAACATGCTTTCAGTATACAGATAACAACAGGTTATTGATATTATGCTATTAACCTAATACAAATAGAGCTTATAAAGAAAACAGGGCTTCATTCATGCTAGGCAAACATACTACTGAGCTACAATCCAAGAAAACATTTCTTAAATGACAGTCAATGAACTTTAAAATTATTAATACAACATTTTAGTTACTGCTTAAAATAATTTTCATATTAAATTCTATTCTGTATATGCTTCTTTTCAGTAATCCAGTCACTGTTAATATTTCTTTAGCTTGGGACAGGATAAAATTTCATTTTTGGAATCTCTAAACATACTTTACATGATTTATATGCTATTTTATTTAACAATAATAGAATAATAACAAAAATCACCTCCAACATTATTTAAGTACTATAGGCTACATTGTTGTCCTTGATTTTACATTAATTAAGGGACTAATTCTACTGGCTAACAACCTATTAACATTTGCTCCCAAGATGTAGGCTCTCTATTCACCTCACAGACTGTTTCTTTTGCTGAGAAGAAACTTTTCAGTTTGAATACATCCCATTTATTGATTCATGATTTAATTCTTGTGCTATAGGAGTCTTATTAAGGAAGCTGGGGCCTAATCCCACATGATGGGGATTAGGGCCTACTTTTTCTTCTATTAGACATGGGGTCTCTAGTTTAATTCCTAGTCCTTGATCCACTTTGAGTTGAGTTTTGTGTACGGTGAGAGATAGGGATTTAATTTCATTTTGTTGCATATGGATTTTCAGTTTTCCAAGCACTACTTGTTGAAGCGGCTTTTCTCCAATGTAGGTTTTCGGCACCCTTGTCTAATATAAGATAATTGTAATTTTGAGGGTTTGTCTCTATGTTGTCTATTCTGTATCATTGTTCTACCAGTCTGTTTAGGTGCCAATACCATGCTGTTTTTGTTACTACTCCTCTGTAGTATAGTTTAAGGTCTGGTATAGTGATGCTACCTGCTTCATTCTTCCTGCTAAGGATGGCTTTAGCTATTCTGGGTCTCTTATTTTTCAACATGAACTTAGCACTAATCTCTGGTGGATATAAAGAACTCAAGAAGCTAAACACACATACACACACAAAAAAAACAAAAAACAAMAAAAAAAAAGCAATCAATAAATGGGCCAAGGACCTGAACAGAAACTTCTCAGAAGAGGATATACAATCATTCAACAAATATATGAAAAAAAGTTCATCATCTCTAGCACTTAGAGAAATGCAAATCAAAACTATTCTAAGATTTCACACCTGTCAGAATTGCAGCGATTTTAAAGACAAACAACAATAAGTGTTGGCGAGGATGTGGAGAAAAAGGTACACTCATACATTGCTGGTGGGACTACAAATTGGTACACCCAATATGGAAAGCAGTATGGAGATTCCTTGGAAAAATGGGCATGGAACTACCATTTGACCCCAGCTATCCCTCTCCTTGGTCTATACCCAAAGGACTTTAAAACAGTATATTACAGAGACATAGCCACATCAATGCTGATAGCAGCACAATTCAAAATAGCTAAATTGTGGAACCAACTTAGATTCCCTTCAGTAGATAAATGGATAAAAAAAAGTGTGGCATATATACACAATGGATTATTACTCAGTAATAAAAGAGAATAAAATTATGGCATTTGCAGGTAAATGGATGCAGTTAGAGAAGATAAAGCAAAGTGAAGTTAGCCAATCCCAACAAAACAAATGCTGAATGTTTTCTCTGATATAGGAATCTGATTCATAAATGGGGTAGGGAGGGGGAGCATGGGAGGAATAGATGAATTCTAAACAGGGCAGAGGGGTGGGACGGAAAGGAAGGGACAGGGGATTAGCAATGATGTTAGAATGTGATGACCATCATTATCCAAAGAACATGTATGAAGACACGAATTGCTTTGAATATACTTTATATACAACCAGATATGAAAAATTGTGCTCCATGTGCAATATGAATTGTAATGCATTCTGTTGTTATATATATATGTATGTATGTGTTTGTGTGTATATGTATATATACCCAAAACCTATTAACTGAGAATATACCATATATCTAAGGAATCTCGAATTTCTGTAAATCTCTAAGAGATTTTGATATGCTAAGATTTTGTAAAGCTGTCTGTGATAGGTTCTTACCAAATGTCTTGTGTCAGGCCTCAAAGCTTGTAGTTGTTCAAACTCTTCTATTTTTGCCAGATCTACATCTTCCTTTAGTTCCCATGTACTATCTTCATATGGCAATGAGCACCACTTTACTAGGTAGTAAATAACAGGCTGTAAAAAAACATTTTTTTTTTTCAATTCACCATTTTTAAAAAGAAAATAGTAAGTAGTTTATATAGAGCATGACTATAGACAATTTAAACATAGTAACCTAGGTCAATTAAAAAAGTGTTTCATTTGTTTTTAAGAGTTTTTAGGTTGTAATTTTTAAAAAGAGTATTAGGTTTTAATATTTGGAAAGTTTCAGGTTTTTCTTACATTATATATATATATAAATAAATATTTATTTCTTTTTTAGTTCTCGGCAGACACAACATCTTTGTTTGTATGTGGTGCTGAGGATTGAACCCGGGCCGCACGCATGCCAGGCGAGTGCGCTACCGCTTGAGCCACATCCCCAGCCCCATAAAAATATATTTTTATAAGCATGTGTGAAGCCCTGCGTTCGTTCCCCAGTACCACAAAAAGGAGAAAAAAAAAAGATAAAGTATTTACCTCACCRGTATCCTTATCTTCACAAAAAGAGACTTCTAATACTCTGTCTACTTCAACATAGTCTGGGTTAAATGGTTCTTCTTCCATCTAAAAAAGTACAAACGAAGATAAATTTACTAGTGTTTCACTATAGAACTAATACATCACTTTGAGTCCAACAAACAACATTTTTCTAGTTTAATTTCCAATAGATATTTAGGATATTATTAATTGCCATGTTATAAATAATRAAACAAATCAAATAGGACTAAAAAAATTCAGGTATTAGAGACAAGTAAGTTACTCTGGGATATGTGTTGAAATTTTTACTAAACGTATCCTCTCTTCCTCTCCTTTGCTACTTGAAGTTCAAGTTGCAAAAGTTGAGGACTAATCAACCCAGCTTCAGACTCTGTTCTCAATACTATCACTCTTTATCTTTACCTGATGATAGTCCTTTACTGAACATCTACTCATCTAGATGAAGGTAAGTAAACTCTCTACTTGAGCTACCTCAAACTTAGTTGCATTTATTTATTCTTCAACTTATACCTAATCCTATATTTTCTAATTGGGTTAATGAAAACACAACTTCCTCTCCAGGCCCCCCCACCCCACTCAGTCACACAAGCCAGAAAATGGGAAGTTGTCTTAGATTCCTTCACTTTCTTTACCTCCATCTAACTTGTACAAATTTTAAATTTTACTTTTTTTTTTTTTTTTTGGTACCGTGGATTGGACACAGGGGTTTTTAACCATTAAGTCATATTCTCACCCTTTTTTTTTATATTTTAAATTTTAAGACAGGGTCTCAAAGACCTCACTAAATTGCTGAAGTTGGCTTTGAACATGTAATCCTCCTTCCTCAACCTCCAGAGCCACGGGTATTACAGGCATGTGCCACTGCACCTCACCAGACTTTATTTTTAAGTGAAAATCAGATTGGATACTTCCTCCTCATTCTCACTGACTTATCACTTCTTACATGGATCTTTAAAAATAACTCTCAACTTGTCCCCCAATGCTTGTCTTGCCTTCCTTTATTCTGTTTTTCACATTGTTGCCAGAGTAATATTTCTCAAATATAAATTATTACTTACAGCTTCCTTGCTTAAAATCTTTTAGTGATTCTGCCTTGTTTGATAATCAGGTTCAAATTAATTTTTTTGTGTAATAGATAAGATCCCCCCTTTTCTTCCAGCCTTATCTCCTGTTGTTTGCTACAACTATAACTCAGATTGTAACCAACCTAAGTGTCACACCTTCATGTTTTTGTACTAATTCTGCTCTCTTCTGACTAGTTTACCATTTTTTGGCTTCTGCACTTGGGCAATTCCTATTCATCTCTGAAAGACTTCCAACAGTCATCTGTGTTTAACTTTACTGCCTTCGTCTGTTCACCCTCTAAATGTTGTATACCACATAGTTCTACCTTTAGTTCTCATCACTATCTTAAACCTCTCCTCCTCAAACCCATGCATCTATATATGACACACCTGATTACAATGATTATAGCCCAAAATCAGAATGTTAATGTGATACTTTAGAGGATTAAAAAAGTAAAGAAAAGGTGTTAGATATATTCATTAGTTGGAGGTAATTATTTTACAATGTATAAATGTATTAAATTATTGATGTTGTGTTCACATAAATAGAAGGCTGGCATGGAAAACATGCAATGTTTGTAATTATTTAATGTGTAAGATTTAATACACTGACAATTTTTATTTTCCATTTGTTTGCTACATTATCATTTCCTTTATTTAAATAATTTGCTAATAAATTCTTTGTGATATTAACACAACCAGATTCAACTATATGCATTGAAATAATGCTAATTTAAAAATAAAAATATTATCTACCATTCTGAATTATCAGTGTTTTTGTTTCAGCTAGTTCCCAAGTTAATTTTGGAAAGAAAAATTGTGTCAATAGCATTTTTATTTGAATATCAATGTTGGAAGCCTAAGAACTAAAATGATACTTAAATCTATATGTATTCAGAGTATCACACATAATAGTTTTATTTATTTTTTTCTTACATCTGCAAAAAAATGTGCTCTTTGTGCTTGTCTCAGTTTGAATCGTTTAATTTTCTGCTGAATCCTTTTATCTTTCAAAAGCTGCTCTTCTGTGGCCCATTCACAGTGAAGATAGGAGCTAAAATTTTTATAGAAGTAGTATATTAGAACATTATAAAAAACATGCTTAAGGTGCATTTTTAATTATAACATCCAATATAAAATATTAGCTTCAATTATACAAATAGTTTATCACTATTTAATTTTAATAGACTTCATATAATTTCTAAAATTAAAACAACTATGATCCCTATAGCCTTAGGAGATTGTAGTCTCATGGTGTACAATTTACTATACAGAAACAGAATAGTAAACTGACTAAAAGAATAACAGCAAGATGTACTTTATCTTTTTTTTTTCATTATAATAGATCTGCCACAATCAGAATGCTAACTTATTTTGAAAACAATGTAATTTTATTTAAAAACGTTCATGAAAGTATTTAGAAAGTAACAGAAAAATGTAGAAAAAGAATGACCTTTTCACATTTAGTGGTTGCATAAGTTATCTATGACCAAGATTAAAATTTAAAATTTTAGTCAAAGCATCACTCTATATACATTTAATGCAATAACCGAAATACCAGAAATTTTTTTAGAAAAAAAAATTAAATCTGAGAAGTTTAACATATAACTAATAATGCCTATAATTTATAAATGCATGTTTGTAGGTTCATGCATTTTGAGATTAATAATGAATACATTCTGGAAAAGAAATTCAAATCTTACCATGGAAGGTTTTCAAAAGTCTTCTACTTTTTAATGATTTTTAAGTTCATGTAGTTATATAAATGATAAAAATTATTTTTAAATGCAAATACAATGAAAACCACAATTTTAATTCAGTGTTTTATGTTAACTATATTAAAATATCCAGCAACCTCATATTAATTTTCTAACTCAAATACTTACTAATTCTTGTATTTTACAAAAAATTCTTCTGTATCAATGATCACTCCAGGTGATATCTATGAAAATAAAATTATTAATTATAAAACTTAAACAGGACATGGAATATAAAGTGTGAAATATAATACGCCATTACTTACTTCCTTCTTTACTATTCTAGAAGACAGTATTTTGTCTACAATTGCAGCATCTTCTTCACTTGGGTTCTCCTATAGGATCGAGGGAAAGAAATATGCAATGGAATGCATTCTGAAATACCTTTTAGTTGCTATTTTATATATTTATGAATACACTAAAATTCAATAAATATTTATTTAGCAGAGGTGCCTGGTACTATAAACATTAGGAATACAGTACAATGGAAAAAAATATATCATCGTTGTTATGGTTTTGTCATCATCATCATCATCATTCTAAGCATATTGGGCTTTTTTGTGTGCTAGGCATTATACTAAACACATTGCATCTATTAATTAATCTAATCCATTATCATATCCATTCTTATCTCTCCTATTATCAATTCTATTATGCAATTGAAGAAGCACAGGAATATTCAGAATTATTACTTGCCCAAAATTTTTGATCACTCAGCTAAGAGATGAGTACTTGGCTTACAATGTAGATAAATTAAAAGAATTATAGAAGAGGAAAGCATATATGGAAGAAATAAAGGTATCAAACATGGCATTTAAGAAACTTCATAAGGCAAAGTTGAGTCCTTATGAAGAAGAACAGGAGACAAAATCAGAAAATATAGACAAAGGGCTTTCTTTATATATTGCACTAAAAAAGGCATTATTATTTTAAAGGACTCGATTAGGGTAAATTTTCAGCCAAAACATAATCCCTATCCAACTTGCTCATGGATTATTACTATCTACCTAACAATTAGTCTTTTACTTTAGAAACATTCTGCAAAGGAGAAACACTTTGAAAGAGTTTCAGGTATACACTTAGGAAGAAAGAAATATGAGGAGATATATGTATTTCTACTATTTGAAATAATTTATATTTATTTTGAAATGTAGTAATAATTCCAAATATGTCTTACCACAAATAATTGTAAAGGCTGTTCACCAGGTAAAGGAGCTGAATTCTTTTTTATTTTCAAAGAGCCTTTAAGCTCTTCTTCAGATTGTTTCCCTTCTGCATCTTCTGCATATTTTTTTCTTTTAATTTGTCTATTTGATCTTCTTTTCTGTAATGAACCACAAGGATCAGATTTATACAATTTATTGTTTTAGACAATTAAAAATCTTTGAAACAAAGATTTTAAAAATATTATTTCTATAGTTGGCAAATTATTTATTAATTTTCATATTGATACTCAACACTCAATTTTTTCTTACTTTTCTTTTTAAAGGAAGATTATAATTTGCCCATTATAATTTTCCCACAATTTCAAATATCAAATATTCATAATAATATCTTTATTTATTTATTTTTAGAAGTTTTAAGAAAAGTCTGTTGTTTTTTTTTAAAAACTCTTTTACAGCTTAGGCAAAATGTATTTTATTAGTAATACCTTTATTGCTGGGCTACTTTTCTTTATAAACTATTGTTAAAACTATAGATGTCTTCACATTTTTGCCCCAAACCTAAAAAGTATATTAGATGAAGGTTGGTTAACAAATTAGTTGGGGCATAATCCTAGAGGACATTAGAGAATTAGAGAATATTTGCAAAAATATGAAACTGTTTAAAGTAGAATAAAATAAAATGTCTTAAATACATAAAATATTTATTAAATTTACCAAATAATTCAATTTGAATAAAGGAAGAAACAATATTTCTAACCTGACTAGCTTTTCTAAAAATAAAAGCATCATAAAATGTCTTTTAAATAAAAGAATTACATTTAGTATCACAATTTTTAAATAACCTAAGCAATTTAAAATCAAGAATCAAATACACGTGGTTTTACTTACCTCCCTAAGTGTCTAATATTTGTTTCAAAAGTTTTTATATTTAAAGGAGAATGTTTAAAAACAAGGTTACATATTTTTTTGATGGTCCCACTAAAACCCAAAATCTTAGGTTGTTTTGAAAATCCCAAAGGACTTAATTTTTACTATTTTTCTTTACACTTCTCCAAAATCTAATGGGTTGAAGGCACCTCAACCAACAGTTCTATTGCTTGATTTACCAAAGTAAATCTATCCCTTCCTCCTTTTTATTCTATATAGTGAAACTCCCATGATACTTCCCAGAAATTGAAACAACAAAATAACACATTTGGTTTTTGCCAATGTCTTCTATTTGGCAGATCTTTTGTTAGTCCACATCCCATGCATAGCACAGGAGCAAATTGTTATCTGTGTCCAGTAAGGTGGCAGTAGCAGCCTTTGTAACATCATACTTCTGCCCCTTTCTCTTATAAGTAGTGCGATATTGAGAGAAAGAAAGGCAATGCATGGTAGTCAAAAGTACATAGGAAAAACTTTCAAAATGGTTCATCATCTAGTTACACTCTGTTTCTTTGGATGGGTTCAGTGAATAGGAAGGATGTTGGACATATAGAACCCAGGAGTACGTATATGCTAGGCAAGCACTCTACTTCAGAGTTACACCCTGAGCCCCAATTTTGTTTTATTTATTTTGGGGGGGGGGGGTCATCATCCATTGGCCATGAAAATGTTTACATTTTCAAATGCCAAATAAACATTTTTATTAATACAGGAGACAGGGAAGGTGGGATAAAGTTATAATAAAAGGACTTTGTTAAACTCAGTATTCCCAATTACTATTTTTAAAAAGACATGAAATATTTACTGTTCCTTGGGGCGGGGGTGTCTATGATTCTCAGCATAAAGAATGTTTAAAACAAGTATAATAAAGCTTCTTTTCTGGTCACTGAGGCATCTGAGTATGCTCACATGCCTTTTAATAGTAAATGAGGAACTAAGTGAGGTAGCCCACACCTGTAATCCCAGTGATTTAGGAGCATGAGGAACGAGGATCACAAATTTGAGGCTGCCTTGGGTAATTTGATGAGACATTGTCTCAAAATAAGAAGAGCTGGGGATGTAAATCAGTGATAAAGCACCAGAGTTCAATGTCCAACATGACAAAAAAAAAAAAAAGGTGGATCAGTGGTCTGAAAAAATCATTTTCACTTATAAAATAGAATGAGGACCATTCATGGTAAATTGCTTCCTCATCCTATGATATCAGACTAGCATACTCCATGGTCTGTACTTGATTTCATTAATAAATTATACTCCATAAGAGTACAGAGAAATACCACATTACTTCATTCCAAGTAACTCTCAGCAATTATTTTTTCCTGTGTTATAGAGTATCTCTACTAGTTTAAAAATATAAAAATTAACCTAAACTCCAAATATTTGGCTAATGCTTTTTTCTTGCTTTCTTTCTCTGTAATGTTTTCAAAACACAATTTAAAATAGTGACAAACTGTAGTAATTTCTTATTTCTAGCTTTTTTCTTATGTCTTACAGAATGTAACAGATCAGCACACAGCATTTTGCATATAAAGAGGTCAGAAGAATGATGTTTTTAAATAACTAATACTACATTATGATGAGATATCTGCTATAGAGGCATTAAAAAAGATTTAGTCTTCTAAATATAGTACAACTATAAAGTACTCTTTAAAGATAAAAAATTAAATACTACAACAAACACAGTTGTAGATTTCCTCCTGATAAGAAAGTTTAAGTCGTTTTCTACAGTTCAAATCCTGACAATGCATTGTAGTTAAAAGCTACACAGACCTTTAAAATGTCAATAATATAGATTTATAATTGATTATTAGAAAATACCCCCCTTTGGTGTTACAGCAACATGCTTGTCAAAGCAACTTAATACAATACTGAAGAGCATGGAAGAAATGTACGTGTTGACCTATACTACCATTTCAGTGTTTCGTAATTACATATGGGAAAATGGCCAGCATTATTATAGTAAAAATTAAGCTACATTTTCTCATATTGAATAAGTTAAATGTAAGTTTGCCTAAGTTAAGGATAACATACGAAGTAAAAGCCAGGCCATATAATATTAGGAGCTTTGATCACTGCCCTTACCTCAACTCTTGCAGCAGCCCAGGAGCCTTGAGCCACTACTCTCCAAATGGATAAGAAGCTGCATAAGGAAGAAGAAAGGCCATTCAGGGGCTTTCTGGCCCCATAATTCAACAATTGCCACCACCCCTATGGCCTACAGTTGTTTTTAAGTATTAGAAAGCAGATGGTGGCCTGAATTATTATGACCTTCACTACATATATATTTTTGTAACTTCACAGGTTATTATTAATATCCACGTATTTTTTTTAAAAAGGTAAAAGGCACAATATTTATGTCTATATTAGGGGATTTTTAATATATTCAGTTATCTTTTCTTCAACAGAAGGAGACTAAAGGAATTGTCTCTAAGAATGACTCAATCCATTTTCTTTGTCATTTGTATATGATTTTTAAAATGAATATTCTATCATTAAGTTCACTTAAAAATCACTCAATAAGCACAGGATAATGCCACTAGGTACTTCTCCATGTAAAAGCCATCAAGGACTTTGMATTATTACTTAACCTCTGAAGGCTTCATTTCATTATCTTGAAAATGAAAGGTTTAGAGAGGATATGTAAGTTTCCTCTCAAATCTAATATTCTATGGTAATACTACTAGGAGCATATTGTAATAATGCTGTCCTATAAGTTATACCACATAATAAAATGTATTTTAAGTATTAAACTGCAGTGTAAGTAGACATAAGGCAGTATTTTGCTACCTAAATAATTCTTAACAGAGTTCATTTCTCAGAAAATAACTTTAATACTCACTTGAGAGTCTTGATCTTTGAATGTATGTGGTGGCATATGCTCTGCATCAGATATTTCATCTGAAGATTCATTTTTTCTTTTCTGTTTCTTACCCAATGTAATAATGAGTTTTCTGTGTTAAGAGAAAAAGAATAAACAATAAGAATCTTGTGTTTTTCCACTTTGGGTCAAATTAAGATTGTCATTGTAAACTTTAGAAGAAAGTTTCTACCACTTGCATGTCCAAAAATAAATATTCAGAAATCCATAAAGACATTTTCAAAACTTAAACCTCTCTTCTACTGAATTGGACAAAAAATCAATATTATAGTTAACGTACCTATAAGCATAGAAAGGTAGTCAAGAACTATAGCTGGTTTTTAGGATATACTTAACTTTTTAGGATATAAATAACTATTACATAAAACCAATTCATTTATTATAGATTTAGATTATAAGACAGTGAGGAGCTGTTTATTACTCCTACCTTTTATTAAACTAAAATTCCACTTATTGACCATAAATACTTCCATGCCCTAGGAAGCCTCTACTTCTTTCTACTCTATGGTAATCTCTTTCTTATTTAAGACAATTCTACAATTAATTTTTCTTTAATACTTTTATTTATGTTAAGAGTAAGAAATATGGTGGGCATCATGGTGGACACCTATAGTCCTAGTACTTGGGAGGTTGGAGCAGGAAGATTGCAAGTTCAAGGCCAGCCTCAGCAACTTAGCAAGACTCTATCTCAAAAAAAAAAAAAGGTGGGGTACGGGCCTGGGTATGTGGCTTGGTGGTTAAGTGACCAAGTTTACTCTGTGGCACCAATGGAAAAAGAAAAGAAAACCATTTTTTATATTTCTGCAGGATGAATATGTCTTTATATGTATTTATTAAATATTTTCAAACATATCAAGTACATATACCTAAACTAAGAATGTATTTTAAGTACATGGCTCCCATATTTTCTTATCTGCCTTAACAGCACATTATTAAAACACTATGTTAATCATGAACCATTCTAATTACTAATAAGCAAAATTCTACTTTAGATAACCTATATTCCCCAAACTGAAAAGTCCCCCAAATATTTTTAGGAATGGTATATCAGAAAGATTGCAGAATTCCTTCCATAATTATTTACTAATGTGAGAGAGCTTGAAAGTTAACAGCTTGTACTTTGAAATCACAGGATCAAAGATATAAACCCTGAATCTACCAATCACCTAAGCAAATTACTTGCCTGTAAACATAGGGGTAGTATAATAGCTACCTCTTCTCTTGAAAAGTTAAGTAGGACAATGTATGCATCATGGTTTAGATCTTAAATGTCCCCCATAAGTTCATGTTTTGAAGGCTTGGTGCCTAGCTAATGGCACTACTAGGAGGTGGGAGAACTTTTAAGAGGTGAGGACTAATTGGAGGAAGTTAGATCATTAGGCTCACACACTTGAGGGGGATGGACCCTGGCACCTTATTCTCCCTCTCTTTGCTTCCCATCTGCGACAGGGTAAGAAGCCTAGACTCTACCACATGCTCCCAGCAATGATGTTTTGCTCCACCACAAGCCCTCAGTGACCATGGACTGAAACCTCTGAAACCATGAGAAAAAATAAATCTTTCCTCCATATAAGTCATTTATCTCAGGAATTTTGTCACAGCCATGAAAAGCTTACTAAKATAGTAAGTTACCTTTTTTAGCACAGTCCTAACTAATAGAAACTATTTTGAATTAATATCAGCCCTTTCCTAGGTTCTGGGATTGAATATGAAGTGATAGTCTTTAACCTTAAAATAGCATAACTAGAGAATGATCATAGCTAAAATGCTAAAGTAGATATTAGCACACGAAACAATGTGAACAGTGTAACCTCTTTCATTGAAAATTAAAAGTGATACAGCTGGTGAGTTGGCACATACCAGTAATCTCAGAGGCTAGGGAGGCTGAGGTAGGATCATGAGTTCAAAGCCAACATCAGCAACTAAGCAAGACCTAAGTGAGTAACTTAGTGAGACCCTGTCTCTAAATACAATATATAAAAAGGGCTGGGATGTGGCTCAGTGGTTAAGGGCTCCTGGGTTCAATCCCCAGTACCAAAAAATGAACAAATAAATAAAATAGTGTTACAGAAATTTGAGATAGCAACTGAATTAGTAACAGGTAGTGAAAAAAAAAGACAGGGTACATTCCAGGAAGGGGGATACCACAGAAGAGTGAGGTGAATATGCTGTGGTGATAGCATGACAGGGACACAGAGTATTACAGAAGGAGGAAGCAGAAAACTGAAAAATTATATATGGTGAAGATTATAGAAGGCCTGGAAAAGACACGAAAGACTTATATTTTAAGACAAGTTTTTAAGCTCCACAGAGTAAGAGTTTAAACAAAATCTACCTATCAGCACTGGCAACAAATATTTAATAAATAGGCACTGAGATATTTTTGAATAAATAAAAGCAAAAAGCAATAAAATATAAGAATTTTAAACAAGGGAACAATGTGATTGGATGGAAATAAAGTACAATGCAGAGAAAATATTGATACATAAAAATTCAGTTGAGAGATGAAGAGTGTAATCCAGGGCCATGGCACTATGATACAGCTGGTGAGTTGGCACATGCCAATAATCTCAGAGGCTAGGGAGGCTGAGGTAGGATCATGAGTTCACAATAAAATACTGAAGAAAGATCCACGATAATTGGCTAATGACTAGCTGACTAGTTGTGAGAGAAGAAAAAAACTTTACAATGAGTTTTTCCCTACATTACTCTTGTAACGACTATGTACAACAAGATAATGGCAATTCAACTAGCTATCCTACCTGTACGTTCTGAATGTATGAAGAAAGTAAATAAGAGTATATACATGAGTATATATATAGCTCATGTTGGAACCAGAAAATACAAAAAGAGGGGCTGGGGATGTGGCTCAAGTAGTAGCGCACTCGCCTGGCATGCGCAGAGTGCTGGGTTAGATCATCAGCACCACATAAAAAAAAAAAAAAAAAAGATGTTGTGTCCACCGAAAACTAAAATAAGAAATATTTAAAAAAAATTCTCTCTCAAAAAAAAAAAAAAAAAGATATTCTGAAACAAAATTAAGAAACTGGTTGGTCCTCTTGCCACTTTCATTTCTTATTTCTTCCCTTCTTTTTTGTTTTGTTTTGAGGTGCTAGGGATTGAACCCAGACCCTTGTGCATGCAAGGCATGTACTCTACTAACTGAGCTATATCCCAGCCCTATTTCTTTCCTTTGACACTCATTTTTCCTTACTCTGGTTTCACAACTAAAAAATCTCCCTGGAGGTCACATCTTCCGTTAGATCCCACATGATGTTGACCTTCCTCCTTATCTACAGCTTTCCAAAGTCATTTCGCACCAGGTGTGGATGCACAAGCTTGTAATCCCAATGGCTGGGGAGGCTAATGATGGAGGATCACAAGTTCTAGGCCAGCCTCAGCAATTTAGCGAAGCACTATGCAAATGTGTTACTCTGTCTCAAAATAAAAAGGGCTGGAAATGTGGAAATGTAGCTCAGTAGAAAATCCACCCCCCACCCCCMAACCCCCGTCCCCGTTCAATTCTAAGTATAGGGAGGAGGGATTGTCATTTCACTTTTGTTTCTAAACCCACTATAATCTGAACTCTTGAAACTACTTTTCATATTCATAGCTTCCATGTATTCATTGTTCACTATGAGTCAGCAACTGCACTGACTTTACATGTTTTCCTTCAATAGATGCTTATACAAGTTGGAGAGGCAAGTATAATTTTATAGAGACAAGAAACTGAGACTTGGAGAAGTTCAATAACTTGCTTAAAGTCACACAGACAGTATGAAAAGAGACAGAAATTACATTAGCCTCACTCCAAAGTCTAAATTCCCAATGTGTATAGTCACGACCTTTTTTAAAAAAATATTTTTTGTAGTTATAGACAGATAGTGTGCCTTTATTTTATTTATTTTTGTATGCGGTGTTAAGGATAAAACCCAGTGCCTCACAAATACTAGGCAAGTGCTCTGCCACTGAGCCCCAGCCCCAGCCCACCACAAGCCCTCAGTGACCATGGACTGAAATCTCTGAAAGCATGAGAAAAAAATAAATCTTTAAAATGCTAAATCCAAGAGAAAATTTTAAAATCCCATGTACCAACATTTAACTGATCATCATTTTCTTTTTTGTACCCTTGGCTACATGATGCAATAGTCAAACTTCCTCTCACTATGTTTCGGTTCCTCTTCTTCCATCTATTCCTTGAATATTGATTTTTCAGCAGGATGGTGTTCTTTTTTTGGGGGGGTGGTGCAGGGGTGGTACTGGTGATTGAACCTAGGGGCACTTTACCACTTAACCCAGCCCTTTATTCATTTCTAAATTTTGAGATAGGGTTTTGCTAACACATTTAGGGCTTTGCTAAACTGCTGAGRATGGTCTTGAACTTGTTCCTCCTGCCTCAGCCCCCTGAGTTGCTGGGATTGCAGGTATGTGCCATCATGCCCGGACAGAATTCAGCTGTCTTTTCTGCCAGCCCCTCAAACTTTGGTGTTTCTCAAAGTTCTGTCTTCAGACTTCTTACCTCTTCACATACAGTAGTAAATGGGACATGTAATTTATCCTATGATCATGCACCACACAACACTACAGACAATGATGGTACCAAGATATTGTTGTGGAGTTGAAAAATTCCTATCACCTAACTACCTCTTGCTGGTCTTAGTGCAATGTATTGTTCAGCATGTTTGTGATGATGGTAGTACAAATAAACCTACTGTGTTGCCAGTCACATAAATTATAATCATAAGATTATATATTATAAGATATATGTTAAAATCATAAGATTAAAATATGTAACTGACAGCACAGTAGGTTTATTTATAATGCATGTGACTGGCAGCACATGTAATTCATAATACCTGATAGTAAATTATCATGTTACTGATTTCTGTAATTATTATATTTTATCATTAAATTCTTTATATTCTTACTTATTTATTTAAAAAAACCACATTTACTGTAAAACATTATACTGTGTTACACCACCAGCAGCCTCATACATTTTGAATATACAGTCTCTTAATCATGTTGAGGGACTGACTTGTATCATCTATGTTTGTTCTAAGTACACTCTAT